CGGGCTCCTGCTCCGCCGCGTTCCGCCCCGCGCCGGGCCCGCCTCCGGGGGCTCCCGGGGGCCTTGGGGTCCCCAGGCCGCCTGCGCCGCGCGGGGGCCCGCCGGACCCCGAGGTCTCTGCGCCGCAGCCGGACCCCGCGGGGCGCCTGGGCCCGGCGCCCGGCGCCCGCTGCTCCCTCCCCGGCGTCCCCCCCAGGGGAAAATCGATGTGCGCCGGCTGCGGCGGGGGTTCTCAGGTCCCGCTGAGAGGGGGATCAATGAGGAGCAGATGGGTGCGCCTGAGAGAGACGCGGCCCCTTCTGCCAGCCCCCGACGGCGGCCCCGCCGCCCCCGGTAGACCTCGGCCTGCCCGTCTGCGCTCACTTTCCCCAGTCCTGCGAACCTTGGGCGGCCACAGCCCGAGCCCCCCAGCCCTGCCCGTGCCCACGCTCCGCCCGAGCGCACCTTCCGCACCCCGGGCCTCCCACACGGCTCGCCCCCACTCCGGCTCCCCCTCTGCTCCCGGGAGTCCCTGAGCTCAGCCCCCGGGGAGGCGCGCGGCGAGCGTCTGAGTGACCTCGGCGGCGCCGCGCCGGGCGGGCCTGGGGCGGGAGGAAGGAATTGGAGTTTCCTCTTTTTCTGAACGAAGGCGAGGAATCTGCCGGAGATTCCGCCTTCGAGGCCACAAAGGAAGCCTGGGCCCTCGGCGTCGCTGCCCCCCACCAACATTCCTGCGGCCGGGAAAGGGGTGGGGAGCGCGGCCCCAGCCGTCGGGAAGGAGAGCTAGCGAAAGGGGGAGCTGGGGTAACCGGGGAGGGCGGCTGGGGCTCCCCAAGCCTGGGGAAGGGGGAGGGGGTGCGCACAAGCGAGGGGAGAAAATTGACACAAAGGACCGGGGCAAAGAGACTCCGTTTTAGAAGAAAATAGGCAACGAAAGTATTTTTCAAGGTGGGGCAAGCGGGTGAGGGAGAGAGGCAGCGGCCGAAGCCTGTGTGGAAAGGGAGACAGCGTATTCTTTAAAACGTGATTTTTTCACTTCGAGCAAATTCCCCTCATTCAGAGGAAACGAAGGGGCGAAGGGAAAAATGCAGGGAACGACAGAGCTTAAAATTCAGGAGAGAGGGGAGATGGGAGCCAGAGAGACCACGCAAAGTCAGGGAGGCGCTGGGCGAGCAGGCCGGCGTCCGCCCCGCCTCGGGGAGAGCCGCGAGCTGCAGGCGGCTTCATCGATCGCCTACAAATTGCTTCTGGAGGCCCCGGGGACTCCCATTAGGTCTGTCCACCTTAGAGACAGACGTTTGATCTCAGTTGACAGGGCGGAGGGGCGGCATTAAATGGAATAAGTGACTCATCGCCTCTCAAGACCGCCTGGGAGGAAGCTGGTGGGTGAGGGGGGAGCCTAAGGGCACGAGATTGGCACAAGAGGTCTGAGGCCTGGTCCGGGCTGGCGGGCAAAGGCCCGGGATAGCGCCTGGTCTTGGGATAGACAGGCTTCTCCGTGGCCAGCCGGCCAGAATGCGGGCGCCCTGCGTTCCTGGGGAGGCGCAGCAGTTTAGGCCCGTTTGGGCCTTTTCTCTGCTTCTCTAGGATGCTTAGGCTCCATCCGGCTTGGGAGCTTCCAATTTTAGGTCAGAGTCAGGACCCTCCCAAGAGTAGAGAGCGCATTAAAGGGGCCACGTAGGAGCTGAGGGGTGCGTGAGGGGCGTGCTCCCGGGAGCCTGCGCAGGCGCGCGGGAGGAGGACTAGAGTCTTGGCTGGTAACAGCTTGTTCCCAACGCAGGCGACAGACAGCGGAGGAGCGTGAGGCCGAGAGGCAGCAGGCGAACCGCATCCTTTTGCAGCTGCAGCAGGAGGCCTTCCAGAAGAGTCTGGCGCAGCCGCTGCCTGCAGACCCACTGTGCGTGCACAACTCGTCGCTCTTTGCCCTGCAGAACCTGCAGCCGTGGTCTGACGATTCCACCAAAATCACCAGCGTCACGTCGGTGGCTTCGGCCTGCGAGTGAGCCTGCGCCTCCACGCAGTGGGACACAAGCCCCGTCGGGAGCTCCCCGGAGAGGCAGGACTCTCCCTACCCGCTCTGGCTGCGCAGGAAGGGCCCCGGGCTTCCCTGGCAAGGCTCCCGGGCACCGCCTCCACACACCCGCGGACGCTGGTCTGTCTTCGGTGGAAGAGGGCTGGAGGCAGAGAGACCTCTTTCCCAGAAGCCTGTGTTAATCCTGCCCCACGCCGGAACTGTTCAGAATCCTCTGTTTCCCTCTATTTCGTTGTGTTCTGATTATAACATGGGACAGAGAGACCCAAGGGAGGTGGGGCCTAGGCGGGCTCCTGAGATCCCCCGGGCTGTGCTACAGCTGGAAGTGTCTCTATTCCTCTCCTCACACACCCAGAGCCCCGCACAGAGGTGAAGCCTGGCTTCACCCCAGAGCCACACAGAGGAGCCTGCGGCAGAGCAATGACCCCCCCCCCCCGCAATGACCCCCGCTGTCAGGCGTAGGCCGGGGGTGATGCAGACTCACTCAAACACAAGGCCCTGGTCACACTGTGACACACCAGCCCTCCGATGGGGGCGGGAGGGGGCCACAACACTCCCAGCAGCGCCCAGGTATGCGGAGACAGGCTTTCACACAAATCCAGCCCATTTCTCCAGATCCTGTTTGGGGAGGGGGGTTAAGTTATGCACTTATAAGGTGTTTTCTGTGTAACCATTTTATAAAGTGCTTGTGTAATTTATGTGAAAAAGAATAAAACCCTCCGGGCGAGAGCGGGGGGGCCCTCTGCTCCTTGCCGAGCCCAGCATTTTGCAGCTACTTGGGTTTGGTACAAGCTGAAGCTTCAGAAACACACCTAGTACCCGAACTTGGGAGATTCTGGGTGGGCAGGATTATCAGGCTCTGTAGAGAGAGGGAAAAAGAATTGACTGATGGGGAGAAGGTGAAGCCGAGGGGAGCCAGGCAGTCCTGGGATTTCCAGAGTTTGAGAGCGTGACACAGGGGTCTTTGGGGAGAGAGAGAGAGAGAGAGAGAGAGAGAGAGAGAGACTGCTGTTTGGTGTAACTTTACCCTTTTTTTCTGATTGTTAATGTGTGTGAAAGTAGGTATTCAGTTTTCCTTTGTGAATCTTGCGTTTGCGGTAAATGTGTGTTTCCAATTGTGTATCATCTCTAATTGTATAGGTGTAATTGTGTGTGAGGAGTAGCCACGCTTGCCATGTTTTAGCTGTACAGTGTGTGCTTGTGCATGATAGTTTGCAGTTGTGGGAAGTGTGGGTCATTGTGGGAGGCTGTCCTGCAGCTCAGAGCACATGGCTGTGGGAGGGTAGATTGAGCTGAGACCCAGTGATGTGTGTGTGTGTGTGTGTGTGTCGATGGGATCCTGGGGTGAGTGTGTGTGTGTGTGTGTACAATGGGGTGAACCTGTGAGGAGTTTGGGGGCTCTATTCCCTTCCCAGCAAGCTGCAGAGGCCAGGACACAGAGTAGAAAATTACAGCCGGAATGCTCTTCTCTAGGACTTTACCTGGACCCTCAGGACTGGCCTGGACGGTCAAAAACACACAGAGGCAACTTTCCAGGGACCTCTGGAGCCCTCAGACTCCTCCAGAACAACAGTGGTCACAACTCCTCATCTCTAATTCCTGAACCACCAGACCAGCTGCAAAACAAGAAGAGACTGATTCGGGGCTGGGTGGTGGTGGGTCTGGAGAACTCGCTAGGAATGAAACTGAGTAGGAGCTCGGGAGCCATGTCTTTGGAGAATTGTGTAGGTGGGAAGTTGGTGTGGTCAAAGCCACTGTCGGCAGTCACCGAAGGTCGTAAGACAGGGACAAAGAGCATTGCAGCCACCCAAGAAAGCCCACTGGAAAACAGGCTGGGGCAGGGCGGTGCTCTTTCACTCCCTCATCCAAGAAACCTGAGCTCAGGAGTCCTGGCAGGCTGGCTTTAGCAAGCTCTGCCTTAGACACGGGAAAGGGTCATCGCGAAGAGCTCTCTGTGGAGCGGTCATTCAAAGCCACAGCACCGCGCACCAAGCAAAATCCAGAAGCAACCTCCCAGAGCCGTGGGAGCTTTCTAACCGGGTCAGGGCTGGCTGCCCCAGGTTCGCCGCGGGGGGCCGGAGCTGTACGATCGCCACTTAGTCTCTCCCGGGTTTCACCTCCTCTATGTGTGTCTCTGAAAAGTCCCCTATGCCCGAGCTGTGCCTTCTGATATCCCGGACAATTTAGTGTCTGGAGGACCCCTGTGTTTCCTGGCAATCCGTCCAACTGAGGATCTCAAGTCGAGGTCCCAGGGCTCAGACACTAAAGTCCCAAACTGGCTCCAAAGCCACTCCTAACCTTCCCCTGCACAGACAGAACGCAGCGAAGGTGGGCACCTCCCCCATGCCAGTTCCTTCCTCCGTCTTCAGAGCTTTGCCCTGGTACTCCTAATTGGGCCAGCAGACGCGAAAAGCCCCGCTGCTCTCCCATCCTGCTAAGTGTGTCTGGGACCTGAGCGGTGCTTGTCCTAGGTTCATAGCGCTGTGGCCCACTGAGCCGTCTACACTGCCTGCCCGCACCTGGGCTCAGAATTTCGCTCTCTCCGGGGACTGCTTGGGGATTCCCTGGCCCCGGGCGAGGCCTCCCAGGGGTACCAGACTCCAGGAAGAGCTGGGATCCTTGGCACTGAGAAGCGGCGCTGGACTTTTCCCTCTCCGCCTGCAATTCGTTGGGCCCGAATCTCGGCGAATCCCCGGAATCCCGCTTGGACCGAGGGCTCCCGGAGAGGGCCGCATCCACTGAGAAGGCAGGGGCCTGGCCAGGCCGGCACAGAGCTGCAGCAGCTCACCTCTGTGGTGGGACTCATGCCTGGAAGGAGGGACTGTGAGGGCCGAGGCCAAACGCTGCAAGAAAAAATAAACTCAAAACTCGCTGTTTTCGATAACATCTGCCAGAGTCTCTCCGGTTCAGATTAAAAAAAAAAAAAAGCAATGAAAAAAAAATCATGTGAATAATTGTGTGTCGAAGTGTCGAGAAAGGAAACAATTAGCAAACCTGTCTGGGCAGAAAGGCCTATTTCCTTCTTTGGCTTGAGTGAGCCTGTGGCACTGACGGAATCCCCAGGGGCAGCAGCTCAGACTTTGCGCACGGCCGGCCGGGTGGTAGAAGTTTGTGTGGATGGTAGCCTGTGGTCCCTGGAACCCAGGCAGGGCTGGAGGACAAAGGGCCCCCAAGTTGTGTGCAGTGCGTGAAAAGCTGGCTCAGCCTGCTAACTATGACAGAGGCTTTTTGTGGCCAGGTCTGTGTTTGGGGGGCTGCACAGGCACACCCTAGCGGATGAGTTTTGCTGGCCTCTGGTGCCTCCGGTGGGGTTGCCGGAATGAAGGGTGCCCTGACTTAGATGAGTGTCCCTTGGTGGCTAAGCGGCCTGCGGATGGCAGCACAGGTCAGCGCTTCTCAACCTTCCCGACGCCACGACCCTTTAAAACAGTTCCCCATGTTGTGGTGAGCCTCAACCATAAAGTTGTCTTCGTTGCTACTTCGTCGTTGTAATTTTGCTCCTGTCATGACTCATAATGTAAATATCTGTGTCTGCAGAAGGTCTCAGGCGACCCCCGTGAAGAGGCGGTTCAGCGGATGCCCACAGGCTGAGGACCGCTGCTAGGTGGTAGGCTCCTGGGACACTCCAGCAGGTGTCTCCCACTAGGCGGTGGCACCAGAGCTGGGAGGTAGGCCCCTGGGCTCCCCCACCCCGGACTTTGCGCGCCTCGCTCCCACTTTTGCATACTTCACAAGCCTCTCCTCTTAGGTTTTACCTCTCCCCCCAGTCGCTCCCATCACCTCCTCAGCCTGGCTGAGCGGTGCCCTGATCTAGTCTCGTAAAAGCCCTCACCTCACCGTTGCGCGGCTCTGGGTTCCTGGCTGAGGGGATTCTGACGGAGCAGGCCGAGGGCAGGCTGGAGCCAGGACGGGTTTTCCAATTAGCCCGGAGAAAACCGGGTGGCCTGGACAGGCGGTGTGGGTGGGGGATGGGTGTCAGGTGAGTGCAGAGAAGTAGGGGTGTAAATGTACTCAAGCCTCCCTGCCCCTACCCCACCCCCCGCACTGTACACAGCCACAGCATCCTGGGAGTGCGGTCTTGCCAAGAGGAGCCAGGCACACACAGAGGCGCACACTTCACTGCCGGGGCTTGCGGTTCCCCTCCCGCAAGCCGACGCCTGTCACTGCCCAGCCAGCTCCACAGCAACTACCTCGGGGCTCTCCAGTCCTCCCCTACTCCCGCTGGCCAGAGAGGAGGGTCCAGTTCTGCCGGAGGCTCCCCCACCGCGGGCTTCGCCTTCCCGGCTGCGGCTCCAGCGGGGATGAGACCCCAAGGTCTCGTGGCTGGGCTTGAGGACGCCAGGCTGCTCTGAATTCCGGGCAGAAGACCCCAGCAAAGCCCTGGCCTGACAGTGACCTCTAGCACCTGCGAAGCCCCAAATGCAGCCTCCGGTGTGAGAAGGTGGAAGGGATTTGGGAATAAGCGCAGGTGGAAAAAAAAAAAAAAAGTCCCAGCCCTCAGAAAGGAAGGCTGTCGTGGGAGCTGCCCCTCCGTTTTGCAGCCCTGGCGTCTGAGACCCCACATTTCTTCCGGTGCCTGGCGGGGAGGAGCCTGGCGGCCCTGGGCCTTTAAACAGGAACCAGACCTGTGCTTACACTCGGAAACTCGGGACAAGTGGGTTCCGGGCGCCCTCTAGGGGTCACATGCGGAAGGGCGCTTGGAGTTAAGCTTGAGCGGAGTCACAGCGGGCTGGAGCGGCTGCTTCTGCATCAGGCCCAAAAAATAAAAATAAATATAGCACTAAAATACTAAAACTTAGTATTACAGAGAGCATGCAGTGTGCCAGGTACTGAGCTAGACCATAAAAATACTATTCATTCCTAAACACCGCGGTATGAGACCGATGTGTGTATCCTTCCTTTACACCCAGAGAAGTCCGACAGTGTCACCTGAGAGCAGTTGGTTGGTAGGCGCCAGCGTCCAGAGTCAGC